CCTAGTCTGGGCTTACAGCTTCGTTCGTCACAAGACAATTCTCGATGAGAAAACTAAAGTTTTATTCCATTCCCAATTTCCTCAATTCCTCATTAAGTGGTTTTGAAACTGTTCACTTGCAGCGTCAGGATTTGGCCAACTTCTCTTCACTTAAATTTGGTTGAAGTATCACGAGTAATTTTTAAATCAAATTAGGCACGGCATGATGAATTGACGTCAAACGAAATGTCGTGGTTTGTTGTGTCACTGGTTTAAAGTAAAAATCGAGTTAAAGACTAACAAGTGACAATTTTTTAACCTTTATGAGAATGACGGATCCATAATTTTCACTGAGAATGCGCACAATCCAGATAAATGGCTCGACGACATTTGCATTTTCTTAATGCGCTACTGTGAGTACATAAGGTTGGTTAGGTTCAAGACTATTTGATTCCAACTTCAACGGTTTTTCGTGCCTCATCGAGATTATTTTGCTTTTGAGATTATGTTTTATTGCCTCGTTATGTCAATAACACACATATTGGCCTAGCAAAACATGTAAACTTGCTTTGACGAACAACTTACACTGCTTACATTGCTAATTATTTGTAAAATATGAATGCTTAAAAGAGATCCAAGAGTGACAAACAAAGCAGCAGCTTCATTAAGCAATTAGCAGGAACTCACTTATGTGTAGTTGTGTAAGTGATCACTTGCATCCGTTTAAATGCTTTGTTTATTCGACTGTCTGCATGAATGGCGCTCATTTAGGTTGTCACGTTGCCTCTGCTGAATAGAGTGATCACGGGCCTCACGTTTAGTCCTTCTCCCTGACTGTCAGCATTTAGACAAACGTTATGCCTTCTGGCACCAAATGAGAAGCCTTGAGAAGCTACACTGACAACGGTGTAATGCTACTTTGACTTTAGTAAGCCTTCTATCCTTGTTTTCAACATTTGTGACAAACCTCTGTGGTGCATTTGGGGTGCACATTACTACGGAAAGGAGAAGGGCTAAGAGCAAAATTAGCGTTCAGCACAAGCGGACTGTAGCATCTTGAGGCTTCCCATAGGGTGGAAGAAGGCATAAGGGAAGGTGAATACATGTATTCGGAAGACGACAGGGCAAATGGGGATTATACGGACTATTAATAACTGAAGCGACATTTTCATGAATTATTAGGAAAGTTTTATTGCGGAGATCATATTTTTGTTTTCACGTATACGTGTTGGCGACGATAATACGCTGAAATATCCTCCATAAAGGATTGTGTTAGGACTTCTTTTCTTTGCAATAAATCGGTTTTTGATCAGCGTTCCGATGTTCGGCCCTTGATACAGGTAATGAGGCGGGATAACATCCAGTAGAATTGGCGGAGCGAGCGAGATACATTTTCCTAGGTCACAGGGTGACCGACGACTGGCGCGGCTAGATGGGTAAACTTTGGGCCAAACCAAATCTTACTCACTTCCTCGTCCTAATTAGCGCAATTATTTAGCTGCACTTAATGCCTTCTTCTACCTAATAAAAAGTTGCAAGACTTTATATCTCTAACCAATTTCTTTAAGATCAGTGCCTCAACGATCGGCCCCGTACAAAAGCAACGGTAAGAAGAAGTTTCCAACTCTAATTTTTAAAATTGGATTAATCATAACTCTAGAATCGGTTAAAGGGCTTGTGAGGTTCAAGAACACCTCCCAACCCATGAAGACAGTCAACCTGTCTGGCTGGTAAGTGGGGATTTCTTGCAAAAGTGACTATTTTGTTGTGGCTTACATTAGGGGTTTATCAAGAACGTGTTAAGGGCATCGTTCAACATAAGAGGAGAGCTGTAACACCTTGTCTATTGCAGTATTGGCAGAGCTGGTGGTCATCTTGATATGCACCTTGCTCTTTTGCATGATGGCTGGCATCGGAACAATCTCTCCCCTCCTCCTTTAGTAAATGTACTTAAGTTCATTTAATGCCTTATTCTACCCAATTAGAAGTCTCTTTACACCAAATAAATAACAATATACTTGTGTTTTTAGCTGTAGTGCTTTGTTTATGTGATTACCTGACGTTTGGCAATCACTTTAGAATTTGGGCTGGCCTTTGGGCCCCGCTCAGGCCCTATTTGCCCTTTTGTCTTCGAAATACTTGTATTCAACATCACTTATGCCATATTTCACTCTTCAAGAAACCTCGGGACGCTGCATCAGCTTCTCACATAAATGACAAGGATTCTAGCGATCATCTTGTTTGCACATGATGAGCTGGACTTCGAGTCATGTCAAGGGTCCAGATGTAAAATATAAGTATTCTGTTGCACCTAAGAACCCTCGGTAGCTATCAGAAGGTATTAGGCTAGGCTTTAAGCAAAGGTAATCTGAGATAAGGTAGGATAATTGGGCTTTGACTCGGTCTAAAGACCAACTCACATATGCGAAAGCATAACGAGTACCAAGGTAACCACCAGACACACAAATAGTGAAA